GGAATAAACCTGACCAAAGACTATTAAAGACCTATACAATGAAAATTTTAAATCTTTAAAGAAAGAAATTGAGGAAGACATCAGAAGATGGAAGGACCTCCCATGCTCATGGATTGGAAGAATTAATATTGTGAGAATGACCATCCTACCAAAAGCCATTTATAGATTCAATGCAATGCCAATCAAAATCCCCATGACATTTCTCGCAGAATTGGAAAAAAACACAGGATTCATATGGAAGCACAAAAGACCTCAGAGAGCCAAAGCAACCCTGAGCACTAAGAGCTATGCCAGGGGATTACTATACCAGATTTTAAATTGTATTACAGAGCTGTAGTCATAAAAACAGCATGGTATTGGCACAAAAATAGACCCATAGATCAATGGAACAAAATTGAAGACCCAAATATGAGTAATTGCAATTTTAGCCACCTGATATTTGACAAAGGGGCCAAGAATACTCACTGGAGGAAAGACAGCATGTTCAGCAACTGGTGCTGGCAAAACTGGATCTCCACCTGTAGAAGAATGAAACTAAATCCCTATCTTTTACCTTGCACAAAAGTCAATTCCAAAATCAAAGACCTCAATGTAAAGCTTGAAACTCTGAACCTGTTAGAAGAAAACATTGGCAAAAACCTACAAGATATAGGTGTGGGAAAGGATTTTCTAAACCTGGACATCAATTGCTCAGGAAACAAGGTAAAAAATCAACAAATGGGACCTCATTAAACTAAAAAGCTTCTTTACATCAAAGGAGGCAACCAGGAAAGTGAACAGAAAACCCACAGAATGGGAGAAAATCTTCACCTGCGACACATCTCACAGAGGTTTAACATCCAGGATATATAATGAACTCAAAAAACAGATAATCAAGACAGGAAGTAACCCAATTAAAAGATGGGCTAAGGAGCTGAACAGAGAGTTCTCAAAAGAAGATGGCTAAGAAGCATCTTAAAAGATGTTCAGCATCACTAATAATTATGGAAATGCAAGTTAAAATCACTTTAAGATTTCATCTTACTCCAGTCAGACGGGCTAAGATCAAGAGAACAAATGATACCAAATGTTGGAGAGGATGTGGGGAAAGGGAAACACTCATCCACTGCTGGTGCGGCT